CAGTCGAGACTCTAGTGCACATCGCTGGATCAAGAGGGGGTTTAGGTTAATATTGTGGGGGGGGGGGGGGGGGGTCTGCACACAGAAGGTTTTTACCTTTATGTATAGAATGTACGAAGGTAAAGGACATTGAACCTTTACAACCACTTTACATTTGCTCCAACCCTCTTCAAACTCCTATATTAAAGTGGTTGTAAAGGCTCAATGTTTTTTACCTTCATACATTCTATGCATAAAGGTAAAACCCTTCTGCATGCAGCAGACCCCCCAGACTCCCTAATATTTACCTGAGCCCCATCGCAATCCAGCACTGTGCACGAGAGCCTCGTCTGTCCCAGGTCTCTGCCTTCTCATTGGCTGAGGCAGCAGTGGGAGTCATTGGCCAATAAGTCAATGATAAGTCAGAGGGGGCGGCCCAAGCCTCAGCTCTGTGTGTGTTAATAGACACATGGAGCAGCAGCTCGGGAGTGTGCCTTCTCGGGCGCCCCCATAGCAAGCTGCTTGCTATGGTGCGGCACCCAAGTGGAAGGAAGAGCCAGGAGCACCGTCAGGGACCAGAGAATAGGAGGATTTGGGCTGCTCTATGTAAAACCACTGCACACAGCAGCTAATTATAACATGTTTGTTATTTTTTTTTTAAACTGAACCATTAGTATCTATTTAACTACCAGGGGCAGACTGACCATTTGGAAACTCTGGCACTGCCCGAGGGCCCAGGCTCAGTAAGGGGCCCCATGAGATGCCCCTGGTACCTTTTTCATAGGCTTTTTTGAGTTTGGGCAAGGACACAGGGGCCCCATGATCACCTATTGCCCAGGGGCCCCATGAGTTGTCAGTCCACCCCTGTTAACTACCCTTTAGAAGGAAGATGCTCTACCCATTCTCAGGAGGCACCGGTCTGGTCATGTGATCAGCTCCCAGTGGTCTGCTTCAGGGGAGAGGAAGAAGAGCAGACAACAGATGCCCCATAGTAAGCCTAGGGGTGACCTAACCACCCAGGCATTCCATCTGTTGTTGGCGATCTCTCCTCTCCCCTGAAGCCAGCCGCTGGGGAGATCACCTGACGGGACCAGAGCATCCTGAGAATAGGTAAGTATAAGCATCTTCCATCTAACGGACTTCTACTTAAAGGAGAAGTATAGGCAAAGCTTTTTTTGCTGTACATTTATGGATCACAGGAGTGCAGTTCGTTCTGCACTCCTGCGACCTGTTTTTCATCCAACAGGGGGCTAAAGACAGCTGTCGGCTGACATCAAAGAGCCAGGCTCTTAAAAGATCCCAACCAGATGCCTGGACTGGCACTTGGCTCAGCCTCTCAGCGAGCCGCTGAGAGCCTGAGCCAGGAGCTCCCACACCCCCATAGCCCGGCTTTCCAGTGAGCGCTGGAGGAGCAGAGCAGATAGATGGCAATTGACAATCCCAACTCTCTGCTCAGAGCGGAGGGGAGAACTGAGCGATCAGCGGTGATCAGCAGTGTGTCGGCCTGTGCTGCCTCCAGGCACCTCTAGGTGGCAGTTTGCCCTAGGCAGCCACTTAGTTTGCCTAATGGAAGCACCGGCCTAGCCCTACATTATACATCATTGTTTTTTTTTTTCCTGTTGCTGGATTTTGCGAGCAGAGCAGCAACAAATGTGGCAAAGAGTCTCATGTTCCTTGTTGAGTTTTAATACCATGCGTTCTAGAATGTTTATTGAGCGAGCAAAAATGTGCTTCTTGCTTGGGGCATTTGGGGTGCCAGTAACAATGAGTGGCACTGCGAGTGTTGCAAGCTGCAAAAAATTCCACTTTGCACTACATCGGGAGCAGGGGTGGACTAACAACTCATGGGGCCCCCGGGCAATAGGGGATCATGGGGCCCCTGTGTCCTTTCCCAAACTCAAAAAAGCTTATGAAAAAGGTACCAGGGGCATCTCATGGGGCCCCCTACTGACCCCGGGCCCTCAGGCAGTGCCCAAGTTTCCAAATGGTCAGTCCGCCCCTGATCGGGAGTCTCCATACCAAGGCCCCCAGTCACATCTTCTGCAGCACCATGCAGTTTGGCGCGTGAAAACGCATGTATTTTCAGATGTATGGGGGTGCCATTAACAATTGACGGCACTGAGGCTTGACTGCTATATGGCAGTTTGTTTCTCTGCGTGCCGTGAAAGCATGTAACTTTGTGTGCGTTCCTGGCATTGATGTGAACCGAGCCTCCGTGAGTAGACCTTTCAACCCTCTTTCACCCAACATTCCTCGACTGAAAAATTTAGCCTGAAGGGGGAACAGAAATAAATCTATATGTGTATGGCCAGCTTAAGAACCCTCTAGCTCTTTGGACCTTTTGTGCACCTCACCACCCCCCCACTGCTGTTTGAGCCATAATGTTCTACAAGCGGTTTCCAACACTGAATCTTTATCTCTCCATTTTTCCACTTGGACCAGAGTCCAGTTAAAAAAAACCTCTTTAAATACATTGATCTTAATGGGAAGCCAGTCAGCCCAGAGACTCCCAGATGGATTCCATATTGAGGCCAAGCTGCCCACGGGGTGGAAATCGCTTTCTTTCATTCCTGTTCAGTCTATGTGGAGTCTTGGTGATCTGAGGCCAAATAGTTCCGGGGAACATCAACCTGCTTGGGGGCCAGTGATGGCTCCATGTTGGGCTCCAGGCTCCAGGCCTTTCCCATAAGATGGTTCGAATATTTGGGCAACCTCCAGCGTCTCGCTGGCAGAGAAGAAAGCACAAGAATGTTGTAATATTTTGTAGATTTTGATAGCAATATATCAATTTATTTTATTTTATAAGGTGATGGCAAAAGTAAAAAAGACTGGAAGATGTCTGCATGGACACATTAGTGTGTGAATTTGGAGTTAAAGCGTTACGCAAGACACAACGGCGTGACGATTGGACTGTGTGCGGCGTGAAACTGTTTGCAGTTAGGAATAACAGACAGGAGTGATTCCTGGGAAATTCACTTAGCTCCACAATGACTGTTTAGCAAACAACGGAGTGGAAAGTTTGCTTGGCAAAAAGAAAGTTCTCATTTTTTCTTTTGGAGGTTGTGAGATTTGGGGAGAGTGTATTTAGGGTTGCTTTTTTAATATTCTTTGATTTATTTTTTTTACTTTGTATTTGATCAGTATTTATGTACTGTTGCTTTACATGTTTTTTTATTTTATTTATTACAGATATTTATATAGACCAACAATTTACACAATGCTTTACATGCCGTACATTCCTATCAGTCCCTGCCCTCAAGGAGCTCACAATCTACAGCTAGCCATACACCAGTAAAATTTCAGTTGAAAATTTGGGTTTTTGGAATGTTTGGTCTTTTTTTTTTTTTTTTTAATCTTTGAAGCACCTTCTTAGTTTAGGGCATTGCTGCTCGGCAAATTAAAGTGGAGTTCCAGTTACTATGTAAAAAAAATAAAAGTCAGCAGCTACAAAACCTGTAGCTGCTGACTTTTAAAAACAGTCACTTACCTGTCCCTCAGTCCAGCGGTGTCCTCCCTGGCGCTGGCATCTTCAGTGTGGGCACCCGGCTGTGACAGCTTGCGGCTTCACAGCTGGGTGCTCACTGTGCATGCGCGAGTAACGCTGCACTTTATGAATGGTCCTGTAGTCTTCTGGGACCTGTCACATGTTCCAGAACACTACGGGGAGGGAGGGGGAGGACACCTTATGCTTCTGATCGCCTAGGCCAGTGGTTCTCAACCTTCCTAATGCCGCAACCCTTTAATACAGTTCCTCATGTTGTGGTGACCCCCAACCATAAAATTATTTTTGTTGCTACTTCATAACTGTAATTTTGCAGTGGGAGGAATAGTGCCCCATCATTGGTGTCAGTGGGAGGAATAGTGCCCCATCATTGGTGTCAGTGGGAGGAATAGTGCCCCATCATTGGTGTCAGTGGGAGGAATAGTGCCCCATCATTGGTGTCAGTGGGAGGAATAGTGCCCCAACATTGGTGACAGTGGGAGGAATAGTGCCCCATCACTGATGTCAGTGGGAGGAATAGTGTCCCATCACTGATGTCAGTGGGAGGAATAGTGCCCCATCACTGATGTCAGTGGGAGAAATAGTGCCCCATCATTGGTGTCAGTGGGAGGAATAGTGCCCCATCATTGGTGTCAGTGAGAGGAATAGTGCCCCATCATTGGTGTCAGTGAGAGGAATAGTGCCCCATCATTGGTGTCAGTGGGAGGAATAGTGCCCCAACATTGGTGTCAGTGGGAGGAATAGTGTCCCATCACTGATGTCAGTGGGAGGAATAGTGCCCCATCACTGATGTCAGTGGGAGAAATAGTGCCCCATCATTGGTGTCTGTGGGAGGAATAGTGTCCCATCGTTGGTATCAGTGGGAGGAATAGTGCCCCATCGTTGGTATCAGTGGGAGGAATAGTGCCCCATCATTGGTATCAGTGGGAGGAATAGTGCCCCATCATTGGTGTCAGTGGGAGGAATAGTACTCCATCATTGGTACCAGTGGGAGGAATAGTGCCCCATCATTGGTGTCAGTGGGAGGAATAGTGCCACATTGTTGGTATCAGTGGGAGGAATAGTGCCCCATCATTGGTGTCAGTGGGAGGAATAGTGCCCCATCATTGGTGTCAGTGGGAGGAATAGTGCCACATTGTTGGTATCAGTGGCGGGAATAGTGCCCCATCATTGGTGTCAGTGTGGGAGGAATAGTGCCCCATCATTGGTGTCAGTGAGGGGGGAATAGTGCCCCATCATTGATACTAGTGTGGGGGGGAACTGTGCCCCATCATTGGTGTCAGTGGGGGGGGGTAGTGCCCCATCGTTGGTGTCAGTGGGGGGAGGAATAGTGACCCATCGTTGGTGTCAGTAGGGGGAGGAATAGTGCCCCATCGTTGGTGTCAGTGGGGGGAGGAATAGTTCCCCATCGTTGGTGTCAGTGGGGGGGGGGGAGGAAATAGTGCCCCATCATTGGTGTCAGTGGGAGGAATAGTGCCCCATCTTTGGTATTAGTGACACCAATGATGGGGCACTATTCCTCCTACTGACACCAATGATACTTACCTTGCTGACTCCTGCTGCAGCCTGGGCTTGCTCCCTCCCTCTCCCATCTACAGCCAGCATACCTGGCTGCAGCAGCACCATCTGCACGCTACAGACACTTACCTGTCAGCTGTCTTCCTTCTCCGGCCGCTCCCTCACTCGATCTTCTTTGATCTTTACGCTGCTGCTCGGCTCCTCCTCCTCGCCGGTGATTGGCCGCCTGTGTGCCTCTCCTGAGCTACAGTTCCGGCGGCCAATCACTGGCGAGGCCAGATGACAGGGCGGCATGTCATTCCGCGCACACATCGCGTCCAGGGAAATGTGGACGTATCTGCATGTGGGCGGACTCGCCTGGAGACAGATAGAGGAGCGGTGTCTCGGTTCCTAAGACCATCGGAAATATGTGTTTTCCGATGGTCTTAGGAGACCCCTGTGAAAGGGTTGTTCGACCCCCAAAGGGGTTGTGACCCACAGGTTGAGAACCGCTGGCCTAGGCGATCACAGCAGAAGTGGGAGTGGGTACCTGTAAAGAGTGGAGCAGGAGTTGATTACTTATGTAGTGCCCTCTGGTGGACATAGATTGTAGTGTAGTTAGAGGCTAGTTCAAAGCCTGGGTATTAGTCAGTGAGTTTACTTTAGGTCAGGCTGGAAGGCTCTACAGGTCAGGATTCTGATACCTCCCCCTGGTTCTAGAAGCTTGGAGAAGTTTCTAGAAGCTAGTGGGTGGAGGTCAAAAGATGCTGATCTGCATACTTATAGGAATATGGCCAATGCCCAGGCAGGAGGCCTGGCCAGGTGGCCTAATCAGCTCATACATATGAGAGAGCTTGGCCAGCAAGGGAGTTGGGTGGAAGATCAAGTGCTGAGGTTTACTGCTGTGTAGCCTGGGTTGGGGACCCCAGGGAAGGAGGATTCTGCCTTCAGGCTGGAAGACGGAAGGATGGGAAGGACCAGGGGCAGACTGAGAACTCATGGAGCCCCCGGGCAATAGGGGATCATGGGGGCCCCTGTGTCTTCACCCACACTCAAACCACACCCAAAAAAGCCTATGAAAAAAGCCTATGAAAGGTGCCTCAATGGAAGTCTAGCATCCAAGGGGCCCCCTTGTCCTGGGCCCAGCCGGGCAGCACCCACCAAATGTCACACCCTGGGAAGGAAAAAGCCCTCTGAATCCCTGCATCAGGTACTAGGGGTTCAGACTGGGGAGTCATGGGGGGAAGATCTGGGTGTCTACTGACCCTATGGGGCCCCTCAGGGCAGCACCCGAGTCCCAAATGTATTAAAACAGTACCTGCCTCCTAGGAAGATGACTGACAAAGGGAGGAACTCATCTGTAACTACCTACACGGGAATATCAGTTCCCTGGGCATCAATACAAGAACATTGGTGGGGGGTACAGAGAAGTCAACTGATAAGAGGCCATGGGGAGTCAGCTATGAGAACGATTAGAGGAATGATTCTCTCGTGAAAAGAGGATCTGGGGATCTCCATGTATAATTAAGGGGGGCGGATATGATCTAGAGGCATAAGGGGATTGATCCCAGCTTAATAAGGGCTGAATGCAATGCCAGGGGGGATAGGTCCATGTATAAAGCAAGGCAAAATCTGACTCATTGTATTAAAAGGGAGGGATATAGGACTGCAGAAGGAGAAGAGATTCCCCCCATGTTATCATCAGGGGGGGATATGATGCTCCGGCAACAGGGGGGGAAATCATTAGTAACACATGTATAATCAGACTGGATTATGCATGTAATGTCAGTTTTGGGATATTACTCTCCAATTCACAGGGGATAGACACATTGGGGAGAGATATGACTGGAGAAAGTACCTGAGATGACTCCATCGTATAACTACATAAGGAGGGATATGATCTCCCCATGTATAATACTCATATGATCCCATTATGAGTACTTAAGGGGGGATAGAACCTAATGATAATCATCAAGGATATGACCTCCATGTAGATACCTAAAGGGGGGATATGATCACCATGATAAATAGCATAAGGGGTGGATATTATCTCCATGTATAAATATTATCACCAATGTATAATACATAAGGGGGGATATGATTTGTATCTTAGGGATAGGATCTCCATGTATAATACATAAGGGGGGAAGGGTATGAGGTCTCCATGTACTTAAAAGCTGCCGTAAAGGGGGGATATGATCTCCATGTATAATACATAAGGGGGGATTGATCTCCATGTATAATACATAAGGGGGATTTGAATCTCCATGTATAATACAAAAGGGGGGGATATGATCTCCATGTATAAATACATAAGGGGGATAATGATATCCACCATAAGAAGACTACATGTAATAATACATAAGGGGGGATATGAATCTCCATGTATAATACATAAGGGGGGGATATGAACAGCCTCCATAGAGAAAATATGACTACATAAGGGGGGATATGATCACCATTGATAATACATAAGGTGGGGATAATGATCTTCCATGTATAAACATAAGGGGATAGAGCCATGTATAATACAAAAGGGGGAATATGATCACCATGTATAATAATCCATTTAGAGATATTAGAGGGGGGGATATGAGTATACACATGCAAGAGGATAAAGTACATAAGGGGGATCACCATTAATTCTCCGGAAGATAAGTACATACGGGGGATATTGATCTCCAAGAAAAGATCTCCCTGTATAAAATGAAAGGGGGATATGAATCATGGATAATACCATGTATAATAAACATAAGGGGAGAACCTCCATTATACTCGATAAGCGGTATAAATACATAAGGGGGATATGATCTCCATGTATAAATACATAAGGGGGGATATGATCTCCATGTATAATACATAAGGGGGGATATGAATCTCCATGTATAAATACATAAGGGGGGGATATGATCTCCAGTATAATACATAAGGGGGATATGATCTCCATGTATAATACAAAAGGGGGATATGATCTCCAGTATAATACATAAGGGGGGGATATGATCACCATGTATAATACATAATGGGGGGATATGATCACCATGTATAATACATAAGGGGGGATATGATCTCCATGTATAATACATAAGGGGGTTATGATCTCCAAGATAAACATAAGGGGGATATGATCTCTATTATAATACATAAGGGGGAATGATCTCCATGTATAATACAAAAGGGGGATATGATATCTCCATGGTATAATACATAAGATGGGGGATATACGACCATGTATAATACATAAGGGGGATATGATCACCATGTATAATACATAAGGGGGATATGATCTCCATGTATAATACATAAGGGGGAGATATGATCTCCATGTATAATACATAAGGGGGGATATGATCTCATGAATAATACATGAAGGGGGATATGATCTCCATGTATAATACATAAGGGGGATATGATCACCATGTATAATAACATAAGGGGGGAAATATGAAACTCCATGTATTATACATAAGAGGGGATATGATCACCATTATAATACATAAAGGGGGATAATGATCTCCCATGTATAATACATAGGGGAGGATAAGATCAATGTTATCCATATAATACATAAGGGGGAGATATGTATAATACATAAACCTAGTATAGAGTCTACAAGAGGGGGATATGATCTCCATGTATAATACATAAGAGGGGATATATGATCTCCATGTATAATACATAAAGGGGGGATATGATCTCCATGTTGAATAATACATAATGGGGGATATGAGCACCATGTATAATACATGAAGCGGGGGGAATGGATCTCCATGTATAATACATACAGGGGGGATATGATCTCCATGTACGGCAATACATATAAAGGGGGGCAATATGATCTCCATGTATAATACATAAGCGGGGGGATATGATCATCCATGTAAATACATACGAGGGGGATATGATCTCCGTGTAATAATACATAAAGGGGGGATATGATCTCCATGTATAATACATAAGGGGGATAGATGATACTCCATGTATAATACATAAGGGGGATATGGTCTCCATGTAATAATACAATAAAGGGGATATGATCACCATGTATAATACATAAGGGGGGATATGATCTTCCATGTATAATACATAAGGGGGGGATATGATCTCCATGTATAAACATAAGGGGGGATAATGAGCTCACCATTATAATACATAATGGGGGATAATGATCCCATGTATAATACATAAGGGGGATATGATCTCCATGTAAAATACAATAAGGGGGATATGATCTCCATGTATAATAACAATAAGGGGGGATATGATTCTCCATGTATAATACAAGAAGGGGGGAGTATGATCTCCCATGTATAATAACATAAGGGGGGATATGACTCCATGTATAATACATAAGGGGGGGAAATGATCGCCATTCTAATTAGAAAGGGGGGGATATGATCTCCATGTAACCAAATACATAATGGGGGGGATATGATCTACCATGTTATAATACATAAGGGGGGATATGATCACCATGTATAATACATAGGAGGGGATAAAACTCCATGGATAATACAAATGGGGATAGGATCTCCATGTATAATACATAAGATGGGGGATATGATCTCCATGTATAATACATAAGGGGGGGATTTAGATCTCCATGTATAATACATAAGGGGGATACGGATCACCATTTGTATAATACATAAAGGGGATAGGATCACCCCATGTATAATCTACATAAGGGGATATTATTATTAATCTTAATATTTAATAATACATAAGGGGATATTATTAATATATATTAATATTATTATACAGTATTATAACTAAAGCGCAAAAAAAAAATAGTTCGCTTCAGTGGCTGTACATTACAAAGGGGGACAGAACAATAACCAAATACAATGCAAAACATGAGGGATCAATGGCCCTGCTCTTTCGAGCTAAAAACAATCTAGGAGGATATATATATGATCTCCATGATATAATACAAAAGGCGGGGGATATGATCTCCCTGTATAATACCTAACGGGGGATATGATCTCCATGTATAATACATAAGGGGGGGGATATGATCTCCATGTATAATACAATAAGGGGATAGAAAAATGATCACCAATGTATAATACATAAGGGGGGATCTGATCTCCATGGATAATACATAAATAAAAATATAAGATCACCATGTATAATACATAAGGGGGGATATGATCTCCATGATATAATACATAAGGGGGGAAAATGATCTCCATGTATAATACATAAGGGGGATATGATCTCCATGTATAATACATAAGGGGGGATATGATCTCCATGATATAATACATAAGGGGGGATATGATCTCCATGTATTAATACATAAAGGGGGGGGATATGATCTCCCATGTATAATACATAAGGGGGATTATGATCTCCATGTATAATACA